AGAAATTAAAAAGACCTATAAAGGCCAATATGTTCTGCTTAGTCAAGGAAAAATGGCTGTCATAAAATGTACATGGCAAGAGACTGTGAATTCTGCCTTCAATCTTATTTCTATTCATATGCATATTCAGAGTGTGCTTCCTTTCCTAGCAGGTTCTTCTTCTGAAGCCAGACACTAAGGTACTAAGGAAGGTAATTTCTCATTCTGTGGAAACCACTGATGTACACTGCCCTGAGAGTCGTCATCCTGCAAACAAGGATAAAAAGATGACCAGCACAAAGAGAGAAAACTTCATTAGCTAATAGGTATAAGTTTCATTGGCAAAGCTATGTCAGCTCTATCCTTATTCGGTAAACCTGAAAGATTCAAAAAGGCAATCGGAGAAAAAAGAGCGGAAGAAATAGGAGCTGAAATGAAATGATGCAATGGGAATTTGTTGAGTACCAACTTGCCTCTTTTGCCTCAGCTCTTTTAGTAAGTAAAAGAAGGACACATGTAGGTGGAAAGAGATGTGGGAATTAGAGAAACGCTCTAGCAACATGGACTTCCTTCCTACCAGAGAGCTTCTCAGTGACTCACGGAGTCCTCTGAAGCAACAGCCAGTCAGCATCTCAGGAGGCAGCAGAATTCTGGCCACGGCACAGTGCTGCCCATGAGGCCGCAGCCCACCTTGGTACTTATGAATAGTCCCTTCACACTTTACACCTCTGTAGAGCAAAGTCCAGCCCTTCTCCTGATGTAAATACTCTAAATAAATACCGAATAAGTTCAAGACCTTCAGTTATTTGTCAGTTAGTGTTAACACTGTTTCAGCATTTCTCTCTTATTTTAATAGTCCTTACGCAATCGCTACGATTTATGAGTTAGCCAGCCTCAAGGTGGTCGCCGACGAACCCTGACTGCCCAAATTCATATGCTCCAGTGGTTCCCCCCACAGTGAACACAGCTAACTCCAGACCTGCGCAAGCACAGGTGTTGTGGAAACGACAGTGTGGACTGTGAGGCGAGGCCACAAAAGCCCCTGCAGACTCTACCCTTGCTGTCTTTACCTTGAGAGAACAGCCAGGCAATGTGTGATTCACCAGAGGGAAGAACCAAAGCTTCTCCCCAAATGTTGCACCTTCTTCGGAATAACCGTCTTAGGGATAGATCACCATTCCCGCCAGACTTTTAGAAGGCCACAGTCCCAACCCGTATCCTGATTGGAATCCCATAGTTTACACCCTAAGCTAGAAACATTTCTGAATTCTGAACCCAGACAAATTGTATGAGGTAACATGAAACCACGAGGTATGGAGATAGTTGAGTAAGCAATAATGAATTCATACTGCATCTCCTCAAAGCCAGAAATACAAGGAAGTGAGCTACTGGACTGAGAACCTCTACTGACCACATAACATAATGTATCTTTATGAGGTGTTCAAAACCCACGCCAAGCAACTAAGCATTTTTTAAATGAGATATAATTTACTTAGGTCAAATACATACATTTCACTAAGTTTTGACAAAAGCATACATCATGTTAATAATACCCTGATCAAAATGTGAAAAATTTCTGTAATTTCAAAAAATACCCTGCAAAAGAATTTTTTTTTTGAGACAGTCTCATTTTGTAATTCAGGCTGACCTTGATCTCACCGTGACGAGCAGCACGTGCCAAGCGTCCTGCCTTGGCCCCCCCGGGCTGGGATTATAGGCGCTATTGTGCCGGCCTTGCAAGACCTTACATTCTCCCTTCCTACCAACCAGAAATGAACTGTTTTTCTGTCATCATAGATGAATATGGATTGTTCTGGAATGTCACACAAATGGAAGAATGTAATCCTTTGGTTTCTTTTGTTCAGCACAATAGTTTCAAAAGTTCATCTATGGTGTTGAATGAACCAATAATTCACTCTTTTATGTCGTTGACATCTCATTAATAGACATCTGCATTCATATCAGTTTGGAGCTACAATAAATAATGTTTCTGGGGACCATTTCTCCTGCAAACTTTTTGGTAGACATAGTTTTTGTTGTTGTTGCTCTCTTAAACGCCTACGCAGGACTGGCACTCAGTGAGGCGGGTAAGATACTACAGTACATAATTCAGAGAGCCTGTTTGCAGAAGTGGAGTCACCAGTATGTAAAGGAGGTATTTAGCCTTTTACATTATGCTACTCTAAGTCCTTGAGTTACATACAAGCTCTATTCATAAGTCAGAGAATGTTCATAAGTCAGATTCATTTGTAATCTGACGAAGTGAGTCTTACACAGTACATTTGTCAAAGTCCACAACTTAATGTTTGTAAATCGGGGACTTCCTGAAGTTTTGCACTTATATTTGCCAAAGATTTTTCAGTCAAGGAACCTACTCTTTAAATAAAAATAGTAGGTTAATATAGTAGTATAAGAAACATACAAAGTACAAGAACAATCGATCAATATAATATTATCTGGTATAATGAATATTAACTAAGATTAAGTTGAAAATAATTTGCCCTAAAATGATTCACGTATTAAGTGAAATTCCTTGCTTTACAGATATGTAAAATGATCAAGAAGCTCATCCATGGCTCCCTAGTTAGCAGCTTTTATAACATAAAATAATACTGTATGTTCTCTAAAAAAGTCAAGGATTGGTGACATTAAAAACACTCTAACTATGAAAACACAGTCACTAAGTTAAGCTACATTTCTAACATATGCAAAAGTCACTTTAGCGCCTGGAGTAGCTTCCAAAAGACAGTATGTCATCGTTTGGCCACAGTTAGTACTCCATGCTGCACTGAGTGAAGACAAACTGACGCTGGCCACATATAAAACCTGTAATGTGATGTATGCAGGTAGCAAATCTTCTGCATTTTGTTAGACTTTTTATAACACAGGTGCATCCAGCCTGGGGCCACAGACTAGACACATCATTGCACATGTTATTTGCTGTTTTCTTTGCAGAGACCACTCAAAAAAAGTTATTTAAAGCACCAAGCAAAGTTTCTTTGTTCTTTTCTTTTTCCTTTTTTTTTTTTTTTTTTTTTTTTGGTGGTGCTATGAATGAATCTAGGCCCTTCTCATTAGACTACACCCCCCACTTTCTTTAACTACTTTATTTTTGAGAGAGGGTCTCGCCAGGGCATTGTCCCAGTCACTTTTCTCATTTCTGGGACAGCCTGCTCACATCTCCTAAATGGTCCAGTCTGCAGTGAGCCTGCTCCAAGGCAGGAAAGTCATGCCAGAAGGGTGTGGAGGAGGGCTGTGGCCGGGAAGCAAAGTCAAGGGAGCAGGAATGGAGTCACAACCCCAGCAAACCACGGCTTTGCGCCAGGTCCCATCTACTCACTGCACATTCAGCTGTAAGTCCCGTAATCCCACCTCCTTTCAAACACCCTACCTATGAGCACATGAGGCCTCGGGAGGTCATCTAGATATAAACTGTAACAGTCACTAAATTGCCCAGGCTGGGCTTGAACTTGCAATCCTCCTGTCTGAGCCTTCCAGAGTGCTGAGATTACCAGCATGCACCACTATATTCAGCTACCAAGAAATGTTCTTTAATTCAGTTTACTTGTTTTGCTTCTAGAAAATTATTACAATTTAGCAAAATATACGTTTTTCTTCCCTTGGAAAAGTTATTTTTTTAAATTTAATATAATTTAATCTTGGTTCTTTGAGACAGGGTCTCACTAGTTCAGGCTAGCCTAACTCACTATGTACCTGGGCTGCCCTCAAACTTGGGGTGCTCTTCCTGCCTCAGACCCATGAAAGGTGGGATTACAGGTGTATGCATCATCCCAAGCACTCTTTTGGGAAAAGTTTATTTATATCCAGAATAGTGTGGTGATTACAAAGTGTTAATCAATGAGGGTAGTATTATTTTTAAAAACTAGAACCATTTCCCAAATTCCCCATCTACCTCCCCTCACCAATTTATTTCTGTGTCCTAAACAAAAACCAGAGTGGTCTGACCGCTCAGTGACTCAGCCAGCTGCAGGGCTTTCCCAGCGGGCATCTGCCCAAGTCAAGCCTCTGAACACTCCCTGGCACTGATAAGGATATTTAGGGTGTGGCCCAAAGCCCTGAAAGAAAGTGGCCTCAGCCCTAAATCCAGATTCTTTCAACACTCATATAAACGCCAGGCCCTGACCCACACAACCGGGGAGAACACCACCATTTCCTGCGTAAGTCTGCAGAATAAGCTATGGCATTCTGGGAGTTCTAATAACTGCTTTGGACTTAGCGCCCTGGTTTTCAACACATCTTTCTTTGGAATCCAAACTGGCCCATCCTAGGGACAGTCCAGGGAACTCTGCTTTGGACCCTCCCCTTCTACCACATTGGGGTACCTCCAGCCACAGGTTTGGAAAGACAACAAGATAATTACGGTGCCATGAAGACTCATGGAAAGATAATTTCTGAAAGTCTATGAAGTAGCTAACTTAATAATGTGCTTGCAGTAGAAGGTTAGACGACACAGTCTTCTTGCCAAGAGACAGAAAATAAATTCAGTAAGTCACTGAAACAACTGAACCGAGTCAGATGTACAACTCCGCAGCACAGTGCCTGCCTGGCAAATGGGAGGTCTTGAGTTCAATTCCCAGTACAAAAAGGCCCCAAAATTTCAAACTGTATCATTAAATTGTACCCATATCACATCTATTATCTTTTCTTCCTCCTCAACATGCCCTGCTTAATTGTATCCTTTGGTAAACCAGCATCCTGTCACAATCGACCATGTATGAAATGCGTAACACTAGAAAATTTCAAACCTTCATGAACCTATGTTCTTTTGAGGAGTTTTTTCAAGCACTTTGGACAACAGCTATTTTACAAAACCTGAATATTGTATAATGTTAACTTTGAATATTGTATAATGTTAACTTTGAATAAGTTTCCTAGAGTGAAAATTTGTACCTGCTTTGTATTATTAAACAAAAACAGAGGGCACAAAGCCCTGGCGTTTCTAGTTAAAATTCTTATGCTTGCAAATTTCCACCTTCATTTCCTTGTGATTTCCACAGTACCTCACAGGCTTCCTCTCGCGAAGCAAATCTTCCAGGCTCCTTTCACAGTGTTCAGCCACCACCACGAGTCTTTCTGAGTAAAACAAAGCAAATCCATTTTATATTTGATTAGCATGATACTTTAGTAACAAGAGTACTCTACTGAAAATATTAATACAATTAGTGCCAAGAGTATTTTAGAAGTTTTTCAAACACCATATTGAATATATGAAAAACAAGAATATATAATCATTAATTCAATAAAATCACATAAATACAACAATTCCCTTTCATTAGAGTTTCTCTTAGAATGTTTCAGACAAAACAAAATTTAACTTTGGGAAAAAGAAGTGATCATTATTCTGCTATAGACTGGAAGAAGTAAAATATTAGAAAACCATACAAAGAAATTTGGAAAGTGAGGGGAAATTGAGGAGCTAGGTACAAATGTCTTTGACAGTCTGGTTTAAACATATGATCTTTGAACTTAAGTTCAGAAATTTGAGAAAAGTAGAAATGTTATAAATTATGACGCTGGAGAAAAACAGAAAATTAACTTGGATTTAGTTTGTAACAACATGGGTAGGGCTGACGCTAAATAATATAAAATGGTAGTAGGCACATACAAATTATGATTTATTTTTTACTTTCCAACAAATCATCAAAGAATAAGCTAGCACAGTTCTGACGCATACCTTTTTCCTTAGCCATTCTCTCTAGTATCTGACATCGGTATGACAGGGTTTGTATGTGGATGGGTATTTGGCAAGGTTATTTCAGAAGTATGGATTAAACGAAACTGGGGTATTATAAGGTTTTATGCAAAATGGGTCCTAAGGAAGCAGGTTAACATAAAACACAAAGACATTATGGGAATGGTATGGAGGTTCCTCAAAAAACTAAAAATAGATCTACCACATGATCGAGCTGTTTCTTGTGGGGATATACCCAAAAGAAAGAAATCAATGTATTACAGAGATACCTGTACAATCATGTTTATTACAGCACTATTCCCAAGAGCTAAAATACGAAGCCTAGGTACCCATCAGCAGGTGACTGATAAAGAGAGTGGAGTATTACTCAGACACAAAAAAGAATGAAATTCTGCCATTTGTAGCAAAATGTATAGAACTAGAGAGAGCATTATGTTAAGTGCATGAACCTAAACACAGAATTATCACACGTTCTCTTTCCTATGTGGAAGGTATAAAAAAGTACATGGTTAGGATGGCTGCATGGACATATCACACTGACCTTCACTGATATGCACAATACATGTTAACAGAAAATAAAATTAAGCAATTAACAAAAACAATAATAAACTAAGCCAAGGTGAAGAGGTAACATTGCAAAGAGGTTAATAAATGTAAAAAAGAGGGTTTGGTAAAAATGCAAAACCAAAGGTAGAAAAGAGAGACTACAGAAAATGGGAAAGGGGAAGTCTGGAGTACGGATTAACAGGATTGCTTAGTTAACCCATGGTCTCACACGTGGGAGCAGAGAGGAGGGGAGGGTACAGGCAGTCATGTGAGCCTCACTGCAGGACACGGTCTCTGGTCACTTCCTGGAAATTGAAAGATGCTAGCATTACAAAGAATGATCTGACACACAAAAGCTTAAAATGTTACAAATGAAAGCTATCTCTTCCATATGAAAGATTCTAATTAAAAGGAATAAGATAATGACACAACATAAAACTAGGGAAGGACTTTGCAGTAATATTTAATAGAAACTAAAAGAAAACTAAATTTGAAAGTATACTTTAGGAGGAAAAAATAGAAGTAAAAACAAAAAGAAAAAAAAACTATTTGATGTAAGTTCAAGTTTTCACTCAATAAACTTGAATCCCAAGCAGTTTAGTGCATCTGTGAAGTTCTAAAAGAAAAAAGGAGACAATTGTACTCAAAATCAAAACAGAGGTTGCACTCCTTTGCTCCTCGCATTACAGCATTTGGTCAGTTTTCCTGCCCCTAGATGGCTCCTGCCCTTAGTCTCCTCTGTGGACCATCACCTTCTCTACCCACACAAAAGTGCAGCCTGTTCCTCCACTTGTGAGTCTAGGTCTTCTTACTACATTTTCTCCTCATCTCTCCCGAAGATAAAAAACTACTGCACTAAATGTTATCTCAAGCTTAGAATTTTCTTCCGAGCTGCAGGCTTTCATAGCCAAGTTCTTGCATTAATATTAAAGTCATCTTATACTCAGGTACTAAACTAAGTACTAAGCAAAATTTGTCTTCAAGTCTGTCCCTTGTAGCACCACTACCCAGCCAGCTGCTCTAGGTAGAAACCTGAGTCACTTGCCTTTCTCAAAACTACAGAGACCCACTGTATCTATTTCCAGAGTCTGTGTAATTTGCTCCATCTCTCCCAGTCTGGGTCCAAGCCAGTATTATCTCACTAGGTGTGCCACACATATAGCAGTATGCAACAATCTTTTCATCATATAAACTCTTCCTCCCTCCCAATGTATTTAATATTGTAGGCTACGGGACAAAATAGTAATACATCTGAATAAACTAACTGCTTCTCTTTTTTTTTAATACCTGTTATTTGGTCATTAGTTAGCTACTTCCAGGCGTTCAGCTGCTTCCCCTCCTGCCTCGGGGTACTCACACACAGATCTCCACTGCCTGAGACGGTCCTCCCTGCTCATTCCGTCCAATTTCCATGCTGTAATGTACTTTCCTGGCTCAGATCTCACCTTCAATGTCCCTTAGCTATGTGACCTGGGGCAAGTTTGCTAACTGCTTTGCTGGTTTCCTCTTCTGCAAGAGGAAGAAAACAGGAGTGTCTACCCCACAGGGTTGTTGTAAGGTGGAAATGAGTTAATATATAAAGAACACAGAACAGTGCTTAGCAAGAGTGAGCGCTATTAGCTTTTATTAGCATTCATGCTTCAGGCCTCAGTTACAAGTGACTTCCTCAAGGCCTTCTCTCAACCCCAAACCAACTTGCTCTTCCTGTGACACACTTTTCTACACTGTGCTTTCTTTTGCACCATTCTTTCCACACACACTTAAGGTCTTTCTTCCCCGGTTAGATAGCATGTTTTATGATGGCAGGGATGTGCTGGTTTTGTCTATTATTTTCATTATGAGTGTCTTGAATGTCACCTAAAACATTTAAGGATGTACTATAAATGTTTATTTAGAGAAAAGCCATGATGTAGCCATGAGAAATGATGATTGCTATTATCTAAACAAATCTGTCCTATACAGAAAATTACAAGCTCATGCTGTAAACTAGATATAGTAATATCAATAGCACTGATATTAAAATAAAAAAACAGCTTATTAGAATGTACATGTTTCATTCATTAATCATGTTAACTTGTATATTCATAAGTATATCTATAAAGCATTTCCATAGTATTTGCACATTACATTAAAATCTGTTAGGATTCATCTAGAAATGAAAATCATAAGCCAAAGTTTTCCAAAGTCTTGAATCTACACGCCTCTTAAGAACTTGTTTTAATGCTACAGAGCCACCTTCACTGGCAGAACAGCGCTGCTTCTCCCAGAGGTCACGGGGTGTGCACCAAAACGATGCTTCCCATACAAACTTGCTTCTCACAGGTCATCAGTCTCCACTGCAAAAACTCTGGACCCGTGCTTCACAACAACTTCTGTTTGTTATAAAAACAATTGTTTCACAGAATCAACTATTTGGGAATCATAACATGCCAAATATAAATCAGCAATGCAGTGGCAATCTTTATAAAAAGCAAATGTGACTGTATGGTGAGCATATAATAACTATGAAATGATCTTTTTCTAACAGAGATTTGATGAATGCCAAGCACCATGCAGTGCGCTAGTCTGAACCATATATTTTAAGTTAATTCTACCAAACTGAAGGTTTCTCATGAAATATAATAAAGAAGCTGAGTGGGGAGGCATAAATGAATGATTTTTTAAATTATCTTTTTTAATTCAGAAAAAAGATGAATTGTGTCTTAATGTGAAGGGTCATTACAATAGTTACTGTATCATTTCTTTGTTTTTCACAATGAAAAAGACTAGCTCATCACCTTTAAAGCATAAAATCTAACTAAGTATTTAAAATATAGAGTCAACAAAGAAAAATATTATGACTAAAAAAAAAAAAAAAAAAAACTACTGGTACTAGAACACTCTCCTGGTCAGTTTACGAATCAACTTGGGTAGGCAAATGTGCAGATTTCTCAAAAACAGCGATCTAGATGTTGCTGTGAAGATATTTTGTAAAAGATAAAAAAATTTAAAATCAGTTTACTTTATATAACAAAGACTGTCCCAGGTCATTTGGGCGATTCTGATATAACCAGCTGAAGAACCTTAAAGCAGAACTGAGCATTAATAAATTCTGTGCCAAGAATGTAGCTTCAGGTCTTGCCTGAGGAATCAGCTTGCCCTTCTTGAACGTCTGTCATGTGATTCTGAAATGAACTAGTCAACCTCCATAACTGCACATGCCAAAACCTAGCAATTAATCTTGAATATCTCCTATCGGTCCTATTTCTTGGAGACAAGCCTGGTGCAAACATGTAAGTTGAAACATATATGCTAAAAATATAGCATTAACATGAGCCCATGGCTTGAGCCACCAGAGGTACATGCACGATGGTTCCCTTGTGCGACTTGTCCCACTGGTGGTACAAACAGATCTAATCACCTTTATCTGTCTTTTTACTAATAGAATTAATAAAAAGCAGCCCAAAGGGACAGTCATTCAGGCACCACCAGAGGGGTCAAGCCTCCTGGCAATCAGATATGAATTACGTCTCCATTGTGAATGTGTTAAGCATCGTTTAGGTATTTAATAATTTTATTTATTCTCTGCTTGAATTTCAAAGCTATCCAAGTTCCTGATTTTACTAGCAATTACTGAAAGGTCTCTGAATAATCAAGACCAAACTAAAAGGGATTCTTTGCCACTCATGATCTTTACTCTGCTTCTGCTGAGATTTCAAGTTCCAAAGAGAAACATTAAACTTGTTAATCTAAGCATTTTCATACTTTACGTTTTTCTTTTAAAGCTGTTTTCCTTGATTTTAAAATAAATCCAGTTTTCAAATTCTAATAAAATGCCTATTATTTTTGAGATTAA